TTGTATCATCAGTCTAACTTTGAAGATGAGAGAATCAACCAAATTTCTCAAACGAGGATCATTGGGGGGGGGAAACCGTGCCTGTGTCAATATTTCCTTAAAAATGCTATTACATTGCGTCTTTGCATGTTTTGCAAAAGTGTCAAAATGAAATGTCCAATAAGTGGTGCTAAATGAGTGTTCAGTTTTATCTGAAACAGATTAACGTGAATCTGTGCATGTTTAATTATATTGGATGTTGGATAATGTATCATATAATAAACCTAACCGATAGTGTTAACAAAAGCAATTCATATGACCTCCTTCCTCCGTACGATTTGTCTAGACCCCAGTGATGGGTAGGTTTAGGGTTTAGGATTAGGGGTGGTCCTTCCTGATGACGCTTTTTGAAAAATCGTATGAATTCGTATGAATTAGCCACCTCGTAAAATACATAAAAATTGCCTGTGAGATTGGGTTGGAAATTCTGTCAGGTGCGCTACCGAGCTACTGTATCAGAAAGTTATGTGAAGTTATAAAATAACTTGTGCAATGAAGGGTGTTTTTGAAGTATCACAACATGTCTAGTTCTAATGTTTTTATAGCCAATCAAGAACACTGTTCTTGAAAATTAACACAAAATGCACATGAAAAACACCTGGACTAACCTTTACTATTGTCAAAGGGAACTTGCAGGATAACAAACAAATCTGGTGCTGATCAAACTATGTTGAAAACCTATATAACACAGCAATACAATACAGCAATACAATAAGATGCAGGCCACAGGTTATAAAGTTCTTAAGGGGAATTCTGACATCTCTCTAGAGGTTTAGCATTCAAAATCCCCAGGTCGTCAGTGTGCCTGACGCTTCAGAGTTCAATACAGTGAATGTGCTTCCTGCACATTATAATGAAAAGCAGGTCACTGCCCCAGGCACTGGCAGTTCATTTACACAGAATTCAATGCAAATGCATTTGAGCAATTCAGTAACACTGGACTCATAATTTATAGCACATTAAAACATTAAAGACTGGCAGAAAATGTTCTTTGACCATGTTATGGATTTAAGTCTTCCATGGGGAGCTTTTTCAGGCTTGGCCTAAGCACATGTTAAAGGAATACAAAACAGACAGTGGAATTACAGTCAAGAAGAGTGCTTAATGAAACTATAAGCTCTACTTGCTCCTAACTGGCGAACGTTATCTCCATGAGGCTCTGTTACACAGGATACTGCCTTTATCCATTCAAGCTACACACTGCAGCTAAATACAGTTGTAACCCTCTCTTCTGCTTGCTTAATCCCGCTCTGAAAACAGAGTTGGTTATATATGAGTGTGACTGACAACAGTATTCTACAACCAAATTAACTTCTGAGTGGCACTCAATGGAGAAAGATGCTTTTTCGTCCGTTTTAAATTAAAAAAAAATTCACTATCATTTGTTATTGTATTAAGGAAAATGTCAAAAAGTCATGTGCATTTGTAACGGCATGAGGCTGAGTAAATAATTACATAATAGTCATTTTCGGTGAACTCTCTCATTAAAATCAAATATTGCGTAAAAACTAAAGGTTTGACAACATAAATATTTTTAAACCATAACAGGGGCTGGAAAGCATATCAATTTGTCAAAAATGACCTCTAATGAGGTGATGAGTATGAACTCTCAGCTCTCTGATCCAACAAAACACTGTACAAGCACAACCTAACCTAATCTGGATTATCAACTAAATTAGATGTGTCTCTAATCCGCAATTGCCAAACTCTTGCCTTAACCACTTGATTCCAGACCGGCAGGACACACAAACCAGTACGTCTTCCATAACTGTAGTTACTGTACTGATCTTATTGTGAAAGAATCATTTAAGTATATGTTTTATTTTATTTTTGACCTTGTAATCTTTAATTAAAATATCATAACCTTCTGGTGAAATGACAGACTTCTCTCTGGTGATGCAGGACTTCTCCAATCACAGAGCTAGTTTGAGAATTGAGATAAGGAAAATCTGAGCAGAACCAATCACCGGTGATCATCGCGAGATGAATACTGGTTAGATAGGTGGTCCGACAAGCTCTGATGTCATGCTTGCTGAAAAAACTCTCGCGAAAGGAAGGCAGTAGTGCAGGATTGTGCAGTCGGAACAGTTGCTCTCCACGAACTGGACTGATCAAAAGCTCAATGGGAAACGACTTGCTAACCACACAGCTTTATGCTCATTGGTTTAAACACAACCATGGTGTATTGTTTCTTTTCTAAAATGTTTGATTTTAAAACTCATGTTTTTATGTGTATAAAAAAATGTGTGAATATTCCCAAACTCTCAAGTCTATGGGATATGTAATTGTTAAATATAAAATAAATCTAATAAACAAGTCTGTATTGAAGTAAAAATGGATGGAAAACACATCTTTCGGCTGGAATTAAATAACAAGAATGGTAACACTTTATTTTACTTGTTACACGTTACATAGTTACTGTAGTAATAACTACAAATTATACATAATTACATGCAATTAACCCTAAACCAAACCCTAATCCTAAAACTAACCCTATAAGTACATAGTTAATTATTATTACTCAATACTTTAAATGTATAATTACACTGTAACACTGACACCTTCAAATAAAGTGTAACCGCAAGTATTATGGGTGTCTTGTTCATCATTTATTTTCATATAAAAACAAGAGAACTAAAATGACATCAAATTTATTAGCAACCCAGCGCATGAGCATGAATCATGAGATATCCGCCTTGATCTCGAAGGTGTCTGATGCACAACATAGAGAGAAGTGTCAGACTTGTCTGCACTTATTTCACTCCTCCCCTCAATACACCCGCCTACTGTCGTCTGAATTCCAGGCGAGGCCATCTCAAACAAGCCTATTTAGTCCAGTGGTTCCCATCCCTGGTCCTGGAGTACCCCAAACTCTGCACATTTTGTATGTCTCCCTAATCAAACAAACCTGATTCAACTCATCAGCTCGTAAGTAGATGAGCTACTTCAAAATCTGAAGGGTACTTCTCAATTAGAAGTCTGCATCCTAGTGAGAGTGGAGTTTGTTTGATGACGAGATATTGCCTTACTAGGATGCAGCCTTCAAATTGAGAGCCACCCCAAATGGTTGTGTCAGATTAGAGAGACATCCAAAATGTGAACTTATTGGGGTACTCCAGAACCAGGTTTGGAAACCCCACTCACACCTCAAAGTACAATCAACAATCAGTGAATTGATGTCCCGTCATAAGAAATCTTTACTTTTGTTTCATCACAACTTTAAAAGAACATTCATTCAGTAATTTTCTAGCCGCAAATGATACAGGTGTGTTTTGACCAAGCCAAATTTTCCTTTGAATTCATGCGATCTTGTAGCCTGGATGCCAGCCCGAACCCCGCCCAGAACATTTTTGGGTCGGGAAGTTCGGTCTGGACTCGATCCATTGAGGAGTAATTATGATCGGTTCAGAATTAGTCGGGCCAATCAAATTGCCAGGGCGGGCTTTATACGATGATGGACAGATGATCTGCAGTTATGTAATCATCACGTTATCAAAGAGCGCTTGGGTTGAACTGGTTTCTGATGACTGCCGCTGGAGAACTGAGATGTATACATTCCGCTATCGCGTCTGTTGTAAAAGAAATCGACAGCGCATTCATTTTAAAAGACGAACAGAGAACTGCAATCAAGGCATTTGTCGATCGGAAAGATGTGTTTGCCGTCCTTCCAACGGGATTCGGCAAACGTTTATTTTATCAGCTGGCTCCGATGGTCGCTAAGAAGATGGGACGCAATGAAAACCCTGTGGTTGTTGTGGTTTCTCCTTTGGTCGCACTCATGGAGGACCAAGAAAGAAGCAACACTCATTATTAAATTTTTTATTTAAATAAGATTGGTTGTAGGTCTATCCAATTGAGTGGGAGTTTTTTTTTTTCTGGTTCGGTTAAGACACGCCTCATAATCAAAGCCCTATGGAGCAGTATCAGACTCACATTCTGACTAGAATATGAGTATGACGAAGTCAGGCTATAGCGATCTTGTGTTTCACATCATGATGAAAAAGTTCCCACCACAGATTTTCACAGATGTTCAAGCTGATCCCTTGAATTTGCCACATTGACCAACAGAAAAATGCATGGTTTAAAAGTGACTTCTGTGTGAGCTGTGCTTCATGAATTGCTACAATACTGGCAATGGACATTATTTTTTCCCCCCTACTGTGACTGCACTTTAAGTTGTGCATTTTTGAGGTAACTGAAAAGTTGTTTTAAAACACTGTTAAATTGCACATATACTTGCTTGTAAAGATACATACTTTTAATACCCCTTTCCTTTGACCTTCTTTGTGTGTTTAAGCCTTACTTAATGGGTCATAATTGACTGTCTATTATTATCGCAGCAATCATTCCATAAAAAAAAAATATTTTAGCTTTGGAAGATGCAACAGCAGCTTGCACTAGCCTATTCATTTCTATTTTTAGCTCTTTAGTTATTTGAGAAAAAAAACCTCTGAAAGCCAGAGCTACTGGTAACCAAATAGAAAATAGAGAAAACTCTTTAATCTTTAGTTAATAAAAATCTAGCAGGAATACTGTACAAAACATCAAGTAGGCTACTGTACGTTATATGACCGAACAACGCGACAGCATGTCTCAAAGGTTTTAGAAAACAGTTATATAATAACACCAAAACAAAACAAAAATGCATAGGTTACTCGGGTCGATTACAGAAAACTATCAACAACACGCAGCAATCATAAGAATGTCGTCGTGTCTCTCCTCGTTTAAAACATTACTATTTTGCATCCAGAGAACGGGCTTCTACAGCTGGCAGGTTGTGTTTACATATATGCCAAGTTTGTAGACTTAGGCTATAGCCTACACTGTATGCAAACAGGTTACTGCTGCTGGGGTCAGTACATGCAAGTCAGGCACGCTTGCAGGAACGACCCACCACATCAAAAATGACCAGTCAAAACACACGACTTTATGTTGATAATTCAGTAGGAACGTCAACTCACCCTTCTGAAGGACTTGAACGATCCGGTTAAATGAGTGTAAATTACTGAGTGCTCAGCGGATTTATTCTCGAATGCGTTTACATTGTATCAGTGCTTTCTGCATGCATCGCTGGTCGACATGAATTCACATGGCACTTTTTAAGCGTCCCGTGCCTCGCCAGCCTGAGAAAAAGAAGTAAACAGTTGCACACGAGAGTCAGACTTCACAGTGCCCCCAAAAGTAGTAGTAGGCAGGTTGCCTTCGGTGACTGCGCGTGGTCGCAGTTGCAAGACATTGGATTTGAATGATAGGTTGTTCTGTGAGTCGAGGCGGAATCCCAGTTCATATGTCCCGCCTCCTCTGGTAGAATCAACCAATCAAAACGCAGAACAAGGCTGCTGTTCGACATGTTATTTAAAGAGCCTAACAGTTAGTAATGTGGTATTTACAGCACGATGAAAAAGTGACGGAGCAAAATGTGAGCTCATAAATCAGTCTAAAAGTCATGTCACACTGACAAATTATGCATGTGGAGAATATATCTGGACTTTTAAATGTATATTTAAATATAATACGTATAATGCGTCGCTGCAATACTGTAGGCTACTTGAAGCGTCAATGGTCATTTCTAGCGGACTTTAGATGGCCAGAGTTGAGTTCTTCAAGTGGCGGAACTGAGAAAAGGCGACAGCATGCTCTGGCAAGATGCCCATCGACAGCTTGGCTCAATCTTTTTGGTTACAAGTTCAATCTCTGCTGCATAACAGGAAATGGAGTGTTCAAAAAAAAGCCTGCCACTGCGGAAAATATGCATTATCTAAAATGAAGGGTAAAAAAGCAGGGAAAGTGGTGAAAGATGTGTTTTCTCTCACATGCTTGTTCTTCAGTGAATTCACCGGTAAAGGGAAATATGGAGTGTTTAGGCTACTTCTAATGTTTGACTAAATGGGACAAAGAGCCAAGAAAGTCTACCTACGTGTGTGTGTGCCACAGCTGATGGAGCGTGGTCTGATGGAATAAGTGCAAACAGTCATTAATCTTGGGAGTCTGACATTTGATTTCAGGTTTTCAGGGTAAAACTTGCTGCCCTGACATGCTCAACATTATCTGTTAATCCTAACCTCCCTATTAGATTGTAGGCCTCTGAAAATAAAAATAAAATAATAATAATGATAATATCAAGTATAGTAGCCTATATAGGTACGTGTAATGTTATAATTCTCATTGAGTTAAGTCACTTCATAAATCACCATAAAATTATGAACATTTTTTTCTAAGAATAAAAAAGTGAAGAAGAACAAAAATACATGTTTTTTTTCTGTGTATCATATAATACAAGATTCTTTGCATATATAATAATAAGCAGCAATGATCAGTAGTGCCTGATGGTTTACAATCACTCAAACAGAGAAAGGACTTTGCTAAACAAAAGAATGCCATCTGGTGGTTTGAGAATACTATTACAGTCTTGAGGAGTTACGTCACTCTTTCTTATTTAAACATAGGCATATGTTGCCTGTCTATTCACATACACTACCATTCAAAAGTTTGGGGTCAGTGAGAATTTTATTTTTATTTTTTGGAGGAAAGAAATCAATACTTTTATTTATCAAGGACAGTAAAGACATGTATAATGTTACAAAAGATTCTATTTCAAACAAATGCTGTTCTTTTGAACTTCCTATTCATCAAAGAATCCTAAAAAAAATGTAAAAAAACTGTACAACTGACAGACCAACAACTGTTCCAACATTGATAATAATAATAAATGTTTCTTGAGCATCAAATCCTCATATTATACTGATTTGTGAAGGATCATTTGACACTGAAGACACTGACACTGGTGATGCTGAAAATTCAGCTTTGATCACAGGAATAAATTACACTTTACTATATATTCACACAGAAAACAGCTGATTTACACTGGAATCATATTTAATACTATAACTGATTTTTGTTGTATTTTTAATCAAATAAGCGCAGCCATGGTTAGCAGAAGAGAATTCTTTTAAAACTATTTAAAATCGTACCGACCCCAAACTTTTGAACGGTAGTGTATATCTAGTTTTTTGACAACCAAAATGCAGCTTTAAACCACAATTTAATATTTTTGGAGATATTTCTTAAAGTAAACTATAATCTTGCTTATAATGTACAGATTACTGTGTACATAAAATAGACCTATAAGTATATAGAACACTTTACAATAAGGTCTCATTTGTTAACATTAGTTGGTGTATTGACATGAACTAACTATTAAACTTTGTTAATGTTAGCTAATAAAAATCCAGCTGTTCATTGTTTCTTCATGTTAGTTCACTGTGCATTAATGTTAACAAATAAAACTTTTTTTTTTTAATAATATTTTAGTAAATGTTGAAATTAACATTAACCAAGATTAATACATGTTGTAGAAGAATTGTGCATTTGTTCATGGTAACTAAAGTAGTTAACTAATAATAACTAATGAAACCTTATTGTAAAGTGCTAAGTATGTTTATTTTTAACATTGCTAAATTATGGACGCCCTATTTTGGGATGAAAGTCAATTTTAATCCAATTGTTCTATGTGGTCTGATGTTACATCAAATCAGATGTTTGTTTACCCCCTTTCTTGTTGTATTATACTCTATTGCATTATTGTATTACTTTTGCAATACTTTTAACAATATTATACCTTTAATGCAAGCTACTTCTGAAGATTCTTTTCAGTGTACAAGACATAGTGGAGCTTAAAATCTTCACAGTCTTGTTCTGTCCAAGCCTCCTCACAGTGGGTTCAGTATATTATAGCAAAGACTGGAGAGCAAACTCAGCTTCCTGTGCTCCTGGATTGGCAGCTGTGAAATGTTATTTTTGGAACAGAATAGTTGAGGTTCAGGGGAAAGCAACTACAGACAGCTAAAACGTATTTACATCTTAGGCTCTTTTACTTGGGGAAAATGATCTATTGTGTAAAATCTTTACACAAAAATGCGTAGATTCTGACTATAACAATAAAAAAGTGGACACTAACTATATCTTATTATAGTCATTGTTCTTAACACATAAACAGAAATCTAGTATGTTTATTTAATAAATCCATGTTTTTTTTACCTATCCCCAGAAAGATGATAGATAGAAAGACAGACAGACAGACAGACAGACAGATAGATAGATAGACAGACAGACAGACAGACCGATCGATCGATCGATAGATAGATAGATAGATAGATAGATAGATAGATAGATAGATAGATAGATAGATAGATAGATAGATAGATAGATAGATAGATAGATAGATAGATAGATAGATAGATAGATAATATAAACCCTTTGCCTTGTTGCAATTTATTAGCACACAAAATGGAAAAAGCATTATGAAATTACCCAATAATAATAATAATACCAACAACAACAATAAAATTAATACATTGCACTGATTCAGAAACCTTTTGCCTTGTTGCAATGTATTAGCACACAAAATGGAAAAATAAATAAATATATATATAGCCTATGAAATCACCCAATAAAAAAAAAAAATAGGGCACCCAATAATAAAAAAAAGGCTAATAAAAAGAATTCATTGATTGGTTTTAGATATCAGCAACCCTTTGCCTTGTTGCATCATTTCATCGTGGTCCAGAAGTGCGCATGCCCTGAGTCTTTATCTTTGAAAGACCCCTCGCCATTGGTGGATTAGCACATGTCTATAAGTGCCGGCCGGTTTTTACAAGCGCTCTCCACTCCGCTCCGTTCCAAGCGCGCGCACGCTGCTGATGAGAAGAGCCTGGTACCTCTTATAAACGGGTGGAAATACTGAGCGTGTAGGGAAAATCATGGAGGAGAAGAAGAGCGAAATCAATGGGCACGGCGGGCACAAAAGCCCGTTGCCAGCGGTCTCAATTAAATCAGAAAAGAAAAGCTTTAAAGACAGGTTGATAGGCTTCCTCAAAAGAAATCTCTTAGTGATCTTGACGGTGTCCGGGGTTCTGGTGGGCGTAGGACTCGGGATGATGGTCCGGAACATGAACCTAACCCGAGCGCAGATGACTTATTTCGCCTTCCCCGGGGAGATGCTGCTGAGGATGCTCAAGATGATTATCCTTCCTTTAGTGGTTTGCAGTTTGATTTCTGGCGCTGCGAGTCTGGACACGCGCTCGCTGGGAAAGCTCGGAGGGATCGCCGTGTCTTACTTTCTGGTGACCACTCTGATCGCTTCATCCATCGGGGTCGCGCTCGCCTTCATCATCAAACCCGGCGTGGGAGCCGGAGCGCTGAACACCAACAACTTGGGGCTGGAAGGCTTGAGCTCCAACAAAGAGACAGCGGATTCGTTTTTAGACCTGGCAAGGTATCATTTTGGTTATGAAAATTACTGATAATATTATATAGTAGAAATTGGTGATAAAAATATAATTCAACGTGAGAAAAAAAGCAGACCATTATGGCAGCAACTAATCCGCTCCTGCAGGTTGCCGGTGTGTTTAACGATGTATATGTGCCACACACACACACACACACACACACACACACACACACACACACACACACACACACACACACACACACACACACACACACACACACACACACACACACACACACACACACACACACACACACACACACACACATACACACACACACACACACACACACACACACACACGAATGCGTGCAGATCATGTGACAATAATCTAATACTTTACATCTTCTTTTCTTTCTTTCTTTCTTTATTTTTTTAAGCTATTTAAGTCACCGACTGTTGCGCATTTAATTATTGCTCCAGGCATGGAAAGAAGAGCTGGAAAAACAACTGGAAAAATTCTCACATTTATGACAAAAAGAGAATGTTTTAGACATAAAGCATATTGGGAGTTCAGCACAATTGGGACATCAAGTAAAGTAGGAGAAAAATGATTTATAAGCTATACAAATTAGGAAATAATCAAATGTCACTAATGAATGTCACTAATGTCATAAATAAGGATCATTGTCATTCTGAAAATGTAATTTGACTGGAATCATCATAATGGACAACATCATGTTTCAATATGTATCTCTGTGAACATGAAAATCTATCAACAAATTGAACTGATCCTCTAAAAGCCTCTAAAAATTACAAATCACTGACTCTAAACTTTTTTTAATGTTTTTAAATGGTGATTGGATAATTACAAAAACATATTGTATTTAATTGGTTGTCTGTTTTAAGTGGCATATTTCTTTTTCTAACATGTCAATGTGTGACACTTTCTGAAACTGTTCTGATTGATTTTGACCATTATGCGTCATACTATTAACCTGGCTCACAACAGTTAAGATATTTCAGAGCCCAATTGTTGCTGTGCTATAAGACCAAAATTAGGCTATGGCTGAGGAGTTACCTTTCTGATGCTGGTTTTACATGATTTTTTTTGCAGGATATTGTCTTCATTCATCCAAGTTGATCTATGATGGACAAAATGGATGGACTACCAGCTGGTGGGGTCAAATTTAATCACAAAAAAATACATTATTACACGAACATACATGAACATTATTGTTCACCCTATTTGGACCAAATGTGCACATATCTTGAAACCTGAAATCTGTTAGTAAAAAGTCTTCAAAATTTCTCTTGTTGAAGTATAAATATTCTATGCAATTATTTAATCAGAACTTGAAGAATGACTGTATAATAGGCTTGCATGAACCTGGAGAAAATACACTCCACTTTGCCTCATAGTTCACAAGGTTACTAGATTAATCCTCTTTTAACTCAGGTCATATGATGAATAAGAACTAAAACTCAGTTTAGTTTAAAATAATCCATTCTGTAGCCTGAGTGACTGAATATCTGTTTAGATAAAGATATTGATCTGCATGGATCAATGCAAAACTTCCTTTACAGGTCCATCATGATGTAAACGGGTGGGAATTTAGCAATGGAACACCAGTGGTGTTCATCTGTGATGATAAGAGCCCATTACACATGTCTGCATCACTGGTTTATCTTTCTTGCTTGTTTTTCCTTTTCAGAAACCTGTTTCCATCCAACCTGGTGGCTGCAGCTTTCCGCTCAGTGAGTTACTTTTGTTATACGCACACACACGCACGCACGCACGCACACACGCACACACGCGGTTATGTCCTGAATGAATATTTGTAGATCACTTCCTCCATGTTAACAGCTCCTTCCTCTCTAATTGAGTCACAAAATGGAGTGACCATTTTTGTCCCTGCTCAATAAATACCTCCCATCCTCTCTCACCACTAAGCAACCAGGCAGTTACCATAGAAAGCTGATTCCATTCCTTGGTGCCTGGGAACCTGGCTTAGTTCACTGAGTTATACCACACGGTCAGCTGCTTAACAGTGAGCACACTCTGCTCAAAGGAAGGTCATGGGGTTCTGTGGTCTGGGTAGGAGATAACATCTCTGTCCCCAGACTGGAGCATGTGCACAACCTCACTGACACAAACTGAACAGGGTACCCAGTTATCCATTTGCAAAAAAATATGTTTTTTCTAATGGCCAGAGTAGCTTTAGAAAGAGAGACAGGGTCATTAGGTGAAAATAATGGGATGTTTCTTTAGGAGAATGTTTCTTTATCCAGTGGGATTTCCATCAACGCTTACCTGGATGGAGTCCAGATAGGCTTTATAGAAGATGAGACACGGATTAGCAGGATTAATACAGAAATGCCTGGGAATTATTTTAATGGCTAGTTACATATGAACTTGTCCAAACTAATTTTTGAAGATCTATTCCAGGTTGCCTTAATTATCTCTAACTGAAATATGTTTATAGATAAAATTTTGCCATCAAATGTAAGTCAACATCAGAATATGCAATCACAGTGTAAATTCATCTCATTAAAGATATGGCTGCCTGTGAACCTTTAACAGACGAGTTTCTGCTTTCCACTACACTGATTTTTATATGTAAACATATTTTTGTCTATTTAAACATAAGCTACCCAGATAGCAAATGACATCTGGCCCAGTTGTGGCCCACATCCCGCATGGCATACCGGCGATGACTCAACCTGAGTGTGGGTGGTAATAGCATCCGGGACATCTATCAACACTGCGCCAATATCTAGCTTTTTTTACGATGAAGTTAAACTTAACTTAAACTAAACTTTCAACAAGGCGGCTACTTTTGTTAAAGTTGGCATGAAATGGAAGTAGTGATTGTTTTTCTTCCCTATTGTGGCATATATCCGGGTAAAAAGCCTTCTCGAATGAGAAAAAATTTAGGGCGGGACTTGATTTTGTCAATGGGGAATTGATTGGATTGTTTGCTATTGCTGTGATCTCATTAGAGTGATGGGTTGTTCCACCCTCACACTGGTAAACAAGAGATATCGCTGCAAGAGGAAGGGGAAGTTATTTTGATTAAAGATTACGAAGGCGCATTAATAAAAATAATAATAATGTGCACTGATAAATAATTTATAATAAATACTGCAACATTCCATTAAAAAAAATAAGAATAGTCAACTTTGATTTCATTGTGACTTTAACACCACTCCCCCACGGTTTGGCTGCATTTTTACATTGCTGAAAAGAAGTTCAACCTTTAAAAACATGTCTCGAGACCCTGCATTATTTCCATAGTTCAGTGCCACTGCCACGTCTCACGTTTTTAACTTACTCCGATCGTACTTTTGAGGTAGGAAGTAGACGGAAACTAAACTGAGTGGCTTAGCTCATAGAATTGGATTTTTTGAGAAACAGGGGTTCTGAATAGGAGAGCTGTGGGGGGATCACTTTCATTGTCTCTGTGTGCACCAGTCTCAAAGTCCTCTTCAGCTAAACTTTAAATGCTGCTTTTGTGAGTATTTTGGCACTAGACATGCACAGAAACACGCTCAGTGCAGAGAAATAATCAAATGCATCCCAGTTCATGAAGCCGCACACTGGAACGGGTTGAAATCGGCCAGAATAGCTCTTTGATAAGCACTGCATGTAGTAGCTCATAATGTTTTCTTCCTCTGTCTTTTACTTTTGTCACAGTATATCACTGATTACAAGATGGTTCTTGTTGGAAATGGAACAAATGGAACCCTCATCTACCAGAAGGTACACAATCTCTTTATTTTCGAATAATAATTTTATTTAAAAATTATAAATTTTTATGTTACGATAATGATCCTATTCCTATATTAAGCATGCACTGTCAACAATTGTCAACACATGTCACTTGCTGAAATGTCAATTTAACTCAGTAGTTTTACACTTTTTTTTTATTAAAAAACTCAAGTCCAGTTAGGGCTTTTTGGCTGGTTTGTCTCAGACCACTCAGTAGTGTTTGGCTCTTTGGCAGCCTTGAAAGAGCTTGCTGTTTGTTTGCACTGGGCCAGGGTGGACGCAGCCGGTTTTGCTGCTCCTGTCCTACTGAGCACTCAAGCAGCTGGAGATGGCAAGCCTTTCCCAGAGGGCCTCCCATGTGTCTGCAATGCATTCTAGTCGCAGCAATGTGCTTGTAGAAGGACTCAGGATGTGCTAAGAGATATTCACATTTCAAATAATTTTCTAACGAACATTTTCTGTCCTTATAGTAGTACAGTCAGCCTCAAATAAATATAGTTACATCCAGACCCACATGCATGCAGATTTCCACAGAATTAGAATGACCTTCATTCACAAAGTTTATATGTCTCGCCCAGGACATATAGGCCTACATTTTGCAAGCAATTTTGCTTTTAAAAGACATCTAATAGCCGTCCAAACACAGCCCAGACATCTAGGCTAAAACAAGGCAAGATTTACCATAACCTCTTAGAATCTTAGATAAAAGATTTATCTACCATAACCAATCGCTAACGTTTGGACATACGTCACAACTCAAACTAGCGCACCTCAACGTCATCGTTCTCAGCCACTCCCTCTGTTCGCTGATTGGACCGGTAAAATATTGATCGGAGAAAACCCAAGAATAAACAGCAAACCCAGACGCAGTACTGAAGGAAAATGAAAATTGAGCGGAAGTACGCAGGAGGGCGGAGCCAGGCTAGGAATATCATACATCTTGCAAGTTATTTAAGAAAAAACAACATGTAACCAAATTCAAGGTTATTTTGACTTGAAGTGGGGTACTCATAGCCGGACTATATCGGGTCTATAGTTAACCTAGACGGTGAAATGACAACTATTGCTTGCTGGGTTGTATATTTGTTCATTGAGAATTGTACCTAATTTGATCGATTTAGCACACTTTAATGTTTAAATCTATTCCATCAGTATTATCTTCAAATTCAGTGCAAAAAAGCAAATAATAATTCACAGATGGAAATGAACTACTCTATCTAGTGCTGTATGTGATTAGCCTTTGTATAAATCATTGGGTCTTCTTCATTACATCCTGGCTCAGCTAAAATGTCTCGGATCTGCTGGTGCATGGGTAAATATGTGGGCAATCCCTCAGAACGCTTGAGGTCCATAATTGCTTAAGTAGGGCTTACAGAACAACCAGTGCTGTGTGCCAAGTGATGAGCCATGCCTGGATGTGTGATAAATCCCAGAACAAGAGAGGGATTCTGTTGAACAGTAGCTCAGTCCCGTCAGATCTTCATCACCTGTGACCCCACAGCCATGACCGCTGAGGAAAAGTCTGTCTGAGAGCCAAGGTTCATGACGTTTTTGGCTTTTGAAAGTCACTTGTCCATGAACAGTCATATCAAGTTCAGTGACATTGCATCAGTGAGTGGGAACATTAGTTCATATAGGTTACTTAAATTCAGCACTTATCAGAGCACATTAATACGTCACATTTTATTGCTTAAAATAACGTTATCATCAGATTTGTTTTGCTGTTGCATTTTTCGCCTTTAACCAATTCTCAATTGTATGCTGCCAAGAAAACATTGAAAAGGCTGAGCGGCAATATCCTAATATTTGAATGTGTACTTATGTAAGCCACTTTATAACAATGACAAACATGTTTTGGTGGGTTTCAGGTTCCCTATGGAACAGATGCAGATGGAATGAATATTCTGGGCCTTGTTCTCTTTGCTATGGTTTTTGGAGTTGCTTTGAGAAAGCTTGGGACAGAAGGAGAAGAGCTCATTCGCTTTTTCAATGCCTTCAATGAAGCCACTATGGTATTGGTGTCGTGGATCATGTGGTAAGTAAAGGTCTTTGATCAAACTGACATCTAATCCAGTCGAAGGCGCAAAGCCTTAATGTAATACAATATAATGTAATGTAATTTATTACATCATATATTGTCCCCATGATATATAATAGGGACATGAGGAAAAAATACACGTATATTCATATAAAATATTGCAGTATTTGCAAGTACAAATGTGTAAGTACAAAATGCTAAAATATTATTTTAATATTCAACACTGAAATCTTAAAGAATGCGAAACATTTTATATAAGTTGCACTATGCACATGATGTCTGATACATTCTGTTTTTTTATCCTTCAGGTATGTGCCATTTGGCATCATGTTCTTGGTTGGCAGTAAGATTGTGGAAATGGAAGATGTGGTTCTTTTGGTCACTAGTTTGGGGAAGTACATTTTTGCCTCTATCCTGGGCCACGTCATCCATGGTGGCATTGTCTTGCCTCTTATCTACTTTGGGTTCACTCGTGAAAACCCCTTCAGTTTCCTGTCAGGCCTCATCACACCTTTCACCACAGCCTTTGCTACCTGCTCCAGGTAATCTGTTCTGTTTCATTTGTAGTCCTAAAAGCAGGTTTAGTTGAGCTAACCTACATTCTTTTTTCTCTAAGCAAAAAATTGCTTAATACAGGCAATAATGCAGTTTAATGTTTGAGTTAATTCGTTTCCCAGAATGTGACTAAAAAGCTTTGTTTTCTTTTTTCCTGGAACCACCAGCCTTGCTAAATCTTTAGGAGTGTTATTGGAAATGCAAAAACCTTGATATGTTGGCAAAGGAATAAATTCTGGAACGGTCTTTTCCATAATTAGATGGTTCATTTGCAGTCTCAGTCCTTAGACCAATCCAAGGCAGTGTTGTTATTGTTAACTAAAACTAATGCAAAATGCTTTTGTTAACTGAAATAAAGTTGAAATAACGTTAAATGTAAATATTACATGAAAAACGTAAACTTTAAAAACTTTAGAAATGTTAGAAATGTTGCCTTTGCAACTACCTTAAATAAATAAGTTGAAGTTGAAGTAATAAATCAAAAGCATATAACAAAATTACTAAAACCTAAAATAAAATAAAAGCTAATTTAAAGCAATAAATACTATAATAGTACATAATACTAAAATAACACTGATTCAAAGCCATTATGTAATGGTCCTGATGTTACTAAAAGTTGGTTATATACCTTTTTTTCCACCAATAGAATGGTTATGACCATTATTACATCTATTTTGCCGTCTAGTTTGCCACTCAAGCCTTGTCTGTTTTCTGTGCCTGTGCAGCTCAGCGACCCTGCCCACCATGATGAAATGTGTAGAGGAGAACAACGGTGTTGACAAACGAATCAGTCGGTTTATTTTACCGATTGGAGCCACTGTCAACATGGACGGAGCAGCCATTTTCCAGTGCGTTGCTGCTGTGTTTATTGCCCAGCTCAACAACGTTGAACTCAACGCTGGCCAGATCTTCACAATCCTGTGAGTGTACATCCCTATGAGGTCTTTCTTCAATCAGCAGGAGTATTCATAGATCCTGTGAACATTCCTATATCTACAAGGCAGAGATGCTAAGCTTGATCTAAATTTACAAGCAACACACACTCATTTTCTGGAGGCTGTCCCAGTGTGACAGGTTATGCAGTAATGGGCGATACAGAACTGAAGCTCTGATGGAAGGATGGATGTTGATAGCTTTTAGCATTATGGCACTTAACTCCGGGGAATTTGTCCCTGCAGTAAGTGTACCATTGGTCGCTTTGAATGGAGTGTCTGATAAATGACTGCTCATTTGCTTATTCACATGTGCAGGGTGACAGCCACCGCTTCCAGCGTGGGAGCAGCAGGTATTCCAGCGGGTGGGATCATCACCATCGCTATCATTCTGGAGGCCATTGGTCTGCCCACCCATGACCTGTCACTCATGCTGGCTGTGGACTGGATTGTGTAAGACAACTATTCCCATTTAACAAGTTAATACGTGATATTGATATTGTAAATTAATACACCGATTAATTACAATTAACCTCATATATCAGTATTTGCTGAGTGTAGTAATTTTGAGATGCCATATCAGTGACAAGTTTACATTCACGAAAGGGAATGTGATTAATTGCATTTGATTTTTTTTACATTTAAAAAAAAAAATTATGTCAACTATTTAAATGTATTTTTTCTTATGAATAATGCTTCATTAAGAGTAAAAATTAAAAGAAGCATTAAATTGATAAAAGTGACAGTAAAAAAATTCTATTTCAAATAAATGCTGTTCATTTGAACTTACTATTCATCAAAGCATCCTGAAAAAATGGTTTCCACAAAAACTATTAAGCAAAGCAACAGTTTTCAACATGAATCATGATAAGTAATGTTTCTTGAGCAGCAAATTGGCACATTATAATTATTATAATATATTACATTTTAAATGATTTAAATACAAAACAGTTATTCTAAATTATAATTATATTTCACATTATTTCTGGTTTTACTGTATTTTTTTTATCTAATAAATGCAGCCTTAGTGAGCATAAGAGACTTCTATGAAAAAAAAAAAAAAAAAAAAAAACATTTAAAATTCTTACGGATCCCAAACATTTGAACGGTAGTGTATCTATTTACAAAGTATATATATATATATATATTAATATATTAAAGGTCTTTATAAAATGCACCCTCCCCACATATATCATCATGAAACCTGATAGCTTTGCTGTCTATTTTTGTTCTTAAGGGTCTTTTAAGGCTTCTTATTAGAATTAGAAAAGTTATACTTCTATAATAAGAAACTCATATTCTGTATATGCATACAATAATATATACAGTTTCAAACATAAGGACACAATGTAAAATTTTCAATATGGAAATACAAAACATTTATTTTATCCAATGCTATTTGAACCCATATTTGTACCTATGACCTCGGCATCGCTATAGCGCCATGGTCTACTGTTTGAGCTACATAAAGGCATATAGAATTAGGAATTAGAATATAGAATAGAATTAGGATTTTCTAGCCCTTGAGTTAACAAACTGTGTGTCTGATGTGTGATCAGCGACCGCACCACCACAGTTGTGAACGTGGAGGGGGATGCCCTCGGTGCTGGAATACTTCACCACATCAATGAGCGAGAGATGAAGAAACAACAGCAGCAGCCTCAAGAGGAGCAGGAACTGCAAGAGGTGAAGGTGGAGGTAGTGCCTAATGTCAAGGCAGAAGAAGAGACCTCCCCTCTCGTCACACACCAGAACCAAGGAGAAAGCTCCTCACATGAAACACTCAATGAAAAGGACGGTCTGGAGTCTGTACTGTAAAGTGTTGACTGTGGTCTAACATCTCTTTCTTCACTCTTTTCTCTCTTTAAAAACCACTACATGATGAGTGTGAAGTTTACGTCAAACGTAAAGTCTACTCATTCCTGTGAAAGGAACACTAATGGTCAGTTTGCTGTTTTACATATAGTTTGGACTGGTTTTTGTTATGATAATCTTATCCAACTGTGCCAAAAGGATTTCTTATAATAAGATTTTGTGTTTGAGAACATGTCCCAGATTATGTGCTAAATCAAAAAGGGAACATTTCCAGTCTGTGAGCAGAGATGGGTAGTAATGGAAATCATTCACAGACCTCTTGCTCTGTTTGTTTTCTATATTTTGACAGACTGTGTGAAATATTAACTATTTCAAAGATACACCGGAAAGTATTTTCTGTAAATATTTGTGTCCCTAATGCCAAATCCTGTTGCATTGTGGTATAGTCTGGTGATTTATTGGGGACTACCGGTATATCAAAACTGCATGTGTGATTGTGAAGTAGCCTAGCCTACTCCTGTGATTTCTAGCTGATTTTAGAGCTTGTGCGTTATGGTTTCAGTACATTCAAATCTGATTTAAGTGAACGCCAAGCTCAGAGATAGAGACAAAACCCAGGGTCACATGTGATATTCAACCTGATGATGAAACACTGTAGATGATCAAACATTTCCTGATAGACCTCCGTTCTCTACATACTTTTTTTTTTTTGACCCAAGAACATCACCCATGGTATCTAGTGACATCTAGTGGTAAGTGGGATTATAAACAAAGAACTTGTGACTTTTTTTGTACATTAATGCCCAAATTTAAATTTTGGTCATTAGTTAAAAAGCAAACAATTTTAAAACGACAATTAGATAAGCATGAATGAGCTTAATTTATTCTAATTGCTTAGCCTTTTGTACTGCATTGAAAAATATTTTTCGTAATCTGTTGCTATGGAAATATTCAGATGATAGATGAACTCTAAAATCTATTAACTTTATTTGTGTGTTTTTATATGCATTTTACCTCCATGTACGTTTTTCCACTATCCTTTAACCGTTATTATCTTGTTACCGATGTGTCTGTGTGTCTGCTTACAATTAAATCCAAAGTATCTGTGTCTCTGATTTACATGCATAGGCTACACATTTTCCTGCGTGTGACGGATAATTATTTGTTGATAGTAATAATGTAACTGTAATTAACATTTAATTGCAAGGATTTATACCTAATAATCAAACTGAATCCAAACACAACAATGACTATAATTTTTTTTTTTTAAATCCTAATCAAATCATCACAAACTACTGTGATTGGTTGGTTCTGAACAGCGCCAAGAAATGTAACATGTATGGCGTGACAAGGCGTTATTTCAGCAGTGGTCTGGACAACAATTCATACCAGAATAATGGTAACAACAACAACAGCAAAATAAATAAAAAAAACTTTAATAAAAATATTGGTATTTTACGCCACATTGTCATGCACATGCGCATTAATAAGTAACTTGAATTTTGGCTCGTGCAGATCTCCCTCGTTTTATGTCGCTATTGGCTGGAGAGGCAACAGTCTGCGCTACTTAACCCGCCTCTGTGTTATGAACCGTTTCCTTAACCGCTTGGATTCCTCTACAGCGGTGTTTTATTTACCGTAATATATCTCTAGCCACATGCACGTTGTTCATCGAGCTGTCGATGGACTTTCCATAGCCAAAAACGGTACGTAAACAGTGTAAGATCAATTACTCTGGGTGTTTTAGCCATGAAAGCCAAGTGAAAGCGATGTCGACATAGCTGTGAAGCCGCTGTATGATATTTCTGGCTGATACATAATGGCATAACATTAATCACTTTGTTTCTTGCTGCTGTTTGTTTGTGACTGATACCCAAATACATTTTATCATTCGGTTATCGATGCATGCCACAGTTTTCAATTAGGAATATGTACTTTATTCTATTCAAATAGGTACTGGTTGAAGATTGTGGCTTACTAAACAAGTAGATTGTATATTGTGAATTATAAATTGTGTGTTTTATATTTGAATCGATTTAAAAGCTTTTTTCTTCGGTTTCTTATTGTATAATACATACACTGTGTGCCGTCCATATATATATATATATATATATATATGGTGCAGTCTCTACTAGGCATTTGTTTGATGACTGGGTTGCCATAGTAACTGCCAATCAAGCCTATATATGACTTTCTATAATCTATAGGATTTCACACTGCTTTATTTGATCTAGTATCATTGTAGCCCACAGGATCTTGCTGGCTTTTTATGTCCACAAAAAACATATTGATGTCAGTAACAATTATGCGAACCGACTAGCCGTGTGTTATAATACCAACAAGTATTATATTAAAAGTAAAAGTCCATGAGGGTTTTGTGGTGAAGACACATGATTGTCTTTGTTTGCATTGCAAGCAGGCTACGATTTAAATGTACCCACGTGATCACCTCTCATGACATGCCGTTTTCTGTTGGTCGCCATGGAAGCCAGAAGCAACAGCCAATTAAAAAACAGTGCCTGCCTATACCACAGAGAAATACAAGAAACCGCTTTGTCTGCACTGTTGCATTTATCAGAGTTCATCTGACACATATTCATACAACTATATTTTGTCAGTGTAGAGTGAGTATTATTTGATTATTTAATCATTTGTTGTTTAAAGTGCCCCTATTATGGATTTTTGAAAATGACCTATCATGTAGTGTGTAACAGCTCTAAGTGAATGAAAACATCCTGTAAAGTTTTAAATCTGAAAGTGCACCACATATAAAGTTATTGTCTTTCGAAAGTAAGAGTCGACTCTGAGTCAATGAAATGAATCGTTTTTCAAACGAGTCATAAGCCGTTTCGTTGTGACGTCAAGACGAAACATTAGCATATTGCCCGCCCACTTAAGGCGCGCGCAGACACCAGGGAAAACTTGAACCCCCTCAAACCGGCAGCTGATTCCTGTGGACACTGGATAGCATCATGTCGAGAAGACGCTGTGCTCTACAATGTGAAGGTAAAGGCAGTTTTTTTTACACTGCTCAAGGACGAGCATGTGAAGAATCAGTGGTTCAAATTAATCTTTACCGATACCAGCAGTATAGTCCTAAACTTTTGCTGTGTTCCCTTTATTTTACTGACTACTTCTCATATCTCGGAGTTCAATGCAGGATTCGCAAATCGCCCGCTCTTGAAAGATGGTGTTCAAAATACTTCGTTTTGAGTTTTATGGCGCTTTTCCATTACCAGTACCAGCTCGACTCGACTCGACTCGCCTTGGCTCGCCTCGACTCGGCTCGCTTTTCGCTCCGTTTTCCATTGCAGAAAGTACCGCCACAAATAGTACCCGGTCGTCATAGCGACGCCTTTCGTTCCTCGTTGCCCCATCAAGCTCTCGCTGGATCCTCTCTTCAGCAACCAAACAAAGGAATGTCTGCACCTCCTCGTTTGACCACGGCGTATTCTTCCGAGTTGCCATAATAATAGTAGTAAGTTTAGTAACTAGGCCTATCTCTGGCCAAACTATTTAAAAATGGCGGGGTTATTCTGGATACTCCATCTGGCGCGTGCAATGATGACGCAGATTCTCTGTGACCAATCAGCAGTCGGCATTGTTTTCACGTCACATTTTAGTATCGCCTTAGCTCGCCTCAGCTCGCTTAGAACCTCGCCGGAGGTGGTACGAAAAAAAGTACCCGAAAGCAGGTACAGGTACAACTTATACACAGTGGAAAACCAAACAAAGTCGAGTCGAGTCGAGTCGAGTCGAGTCGAGTCGAGCCGAGCCGAGCCGAGGCGAGGCGAGCTGGTACTGTGTAGTGGAAAAGCGCCATTATATTGTGTTGGTCTCCTGCTAACTGGTTAACTCCCATTATTACTGTCTTACTGAAATACTTCTGCTAATCAGTTGTGGGCCACTATTACCTAAAACTGTGTCTATTAATGCAGTTTGTCTGTCGTTCTCACTACTTTGAGGAAAGATTAAGCATGGAGCAAGATTTGTTTTACCAACGTTTGTGTTACATCAGTCTTTCACATTAGAGCTCGGTGTATGCACTGTTATTGATACAGTTTCCACGTTCACCGCAATAAATTAGAAAAATAATACTCTGTAAATAAATAAGTAGACCTACAAGTAAAATACTCGGTTTATTAATGGACATGCACTTGTTAATGCTGATGGTGAGGAATTACAGTTGCAACATCTCATAATGTACCTCAAACTGAGTAGTGTATCACTTAGAAACGTCCTTCTCGAGTTGTCCGTGCGATGGGGGTTCGGGTTGAATGAATAGTTCTTCCAGTATTTTATCATCGGACTCGGATTGATATGATAAAATCGACGTCATTGTACGTTACTGTGTTTAGTTTACGGTGTAGGAAGCCTCAGTACAGCTGATGTTGTTATGGCAATGGGCGTTTTTGTTTTACGCGGTAGACCAATCACAACAGACTGAGCTGTCTTGGCCAATCAGAGCAGAGTAGTTTGCGGAAAGGAGGGATTTAGAGAGATCGATTCATCTGACGAGTCGTTTGAGAATCATTGAAAATGTGGTGATGTGAAAATGTATATTATGAGAAAATTAAATAGTTTTCTGTTGTAGGAGACTCCAAAACAACATTAGGAAACTTTAAAATAGCATAATAGGGGCACTTTAACAACAAAATTGAGCATTCATGACAGAGCATTCTTGAATTTAAGGCAAGCCTGAACATGTAGATAATGACCTATTACAGTAAATGAGCCCTGCATCATGTTAGACTACACACATCACAGAGCCTCCTTCTGTGATCATTCAAGCCTTTGTTTTGCAGTGTTTAAAACACAGTGTGGTTATGACCTTTTAGCTGTCGCTCTCGACAAATGAGGAACTACAAAATCTGGAAGTGGTGCAATGGCTCTCGGAGTTGACAAGTCTTTATCAGACACCTCTTCGCAGATGGAGAACAAGAGCTATGGGTGGTGGAAGACCAGGACCCCAGAGTTCATTCGCAGCGGTCACTCTAAACCCCTCAGTCAAAGGGCAATTGAGAGGACAAGGCTTGCAAATGTCCTGGGGACCAAAGACTCAGACACAGAGAGGAGTGGCTGCAAAAAGACAGTCACAATGGCACCTGTTTCCAGGTATATGACAGACAGAAGCCTCTATACCATGAGAAAACCACTGATCTCCACACAATGCCAGATTCCCATCCTGAAGAACTCATCCACACATGAAGACTCAGAGATGGTAAGAATCTAATGACGCAGTTCATGTTGAACCAGGAACTATTTACTACCACTATTTACTAACTGAAACAATAAAAGAGGATTATATTGCTTTATTTTTTTCTGAACTTTGAAATGCTAGTCTTATATAGGGCTCCAGACTGCGACTAAAATTTTTGAAAATGAAACAACAATATTTTTCAAATTAGTTTGGAAAGCTTTGTGTGAGTCCAAATGTTAAGAGTGCGAACCAGGGTTTCCTGAAGACAGCAACAAACAGAGCACAAGCTGTGTTGTCCGATTCGCAAACTGTTGACGTTTTTTTTTCTTTTTAAAATCAGTGAGATTTGTGAATCTGTTTCAAACTTGTTTGTGAGTTTGTGGATGTGAATGTTCAGAGCTATTACTGTGCCACAACTGACTCTATCACTGAACCATAAGTCGTTATTTTTGGTTAGGTCTCGAAATGAACCATTGTTACTTCTAATTGTGTTTGATGTTCTAAATGGTATTTTAAAATATTACGATGTTTACAAAACCTATATGATTGGTCATGGTTTATCAGAGGAAGGCCCAATTCGCCTTTGGCTAAGCCACACCCTAAAATGTAGATTGACCAATCACAGCGCAGCCAAGAACGAGCTCCCACAGAGGTCCGACACTTTTTCACAGCGCTCCATTGACTTTAACACAGGCGTCTCATATTTTTGGTCTCGGCAGGCTATTACCGTCGTAGTTTTATCAAAAAATATGATTAAGCGTTCGTTGTGCCTGGGGCATTTGTAACACAGATACGCGTTTCCCAGAGAGGTTGGAGGGGGGTGTCCGTTTTTTTTCCTTCCCAAAACCGAAGTCAAATCCTGACAAGTGTCGTCTTTGGATTAAACTGTGTGGACGTCCTCACAGTCAGCTACGTTAAACCCCTCAACAAGCTCACTTGTGTGCTCTAAAGTAAATGTTGCTTTTAACCTTAATGTGAAGTTATACTAATTAGACCGTGTTATGCTGTTAGGTTATGATTTCGGTTCTCTAACGTTAACGTTACCCTAATTAATGAAGAATGGTGCTAGCAAGCAAGCTTAGCGATAAGTTATCACGTAACGTTAACGTAAGTCAGGATTGTATGTTTTGAGTAGCGGCTGGATGTTAGCTAACTTTGTTATTCAAGATACAAACACCTAACGTTAATGTTACAGACACGCTGTGGTAGTTTTGAAGGTGACTAACGTTACCGCCACCGTGTTGCCACAGTCCAACATTATTGTTTAAATTTCTTTAAAAAAATGACCAAATTTGAAAGGTGAGACTTTGTTTAATATGAAAAGTAACCTGGTCTGTCAGCCTGTTGTCAGTCTCCTCTCTGCTCTGCGATGTATTTTTCACTGCTTGAGAACATGGTGTGTGCGTGAGAGCGGCGTAGTAGCTTGACGGACATAGCGACAGTAACTAAGGGGGGCGGGGCTTAGCCAAAGGTGAATTGTAATGTCCGGGAACATTGAAACTTGTAAAAACAATATACACACTACTGTTTTTTTGCATCAAGTTGATCAAAATGGTTTCAACATTGATAATAAGAAGAAATGTTTAATGAGCAGCAAATCATCATATTAGAATGATTTCTGGAGATCATGTGACGCTGAAGACTTGAGTAATGATGCAGAAAATTCCGCTTTTCTGTGAAATATTAATACATAGAAAGTTATTTAAAATTGTAATACTATTTCACAGTATTACTGTTTACTGTATTTTTAATCAAATAAACGTAGCCTTGGTGAGCACAAGAGACTTCTTTCAAAAACATGAAAAAATCTTACCGCCCCCAAACGTTTGAATGGTAATGTTTGTTTAATTAAAGGAGCCAATGACTTTCTGGTTATGTTTTAGTCTACATTTTAGGATTTCCTATTAACATTTCCTTTTTTCCCCTCCTCAGATCAGTTACAAAGCAGATTCCTCTAAAGAAAAGGACCAAAGTCTGGCCAAAGAGTCATTCAGAAGGATCACACAAGCTTCTCCATATTATAAATCCTCCCCCACATTATCCAGAGAAGACCTGGATACTTCCATGAATGTATCGGACCTCAGACTAGGGTCATGTGATGGGGATCCTATTTTTACCACTTCAGCTGCCAAACGCAGTCTGTCCAGTCCCCCTTCAGCTTCCTTGAGCCTTACAGAACCCCCAGTGCCTAAGTGGATGTCCACTCCTAGAAGCACCTCTCACTTGTCCAATCATACGTCTCGTTTCACGAGAAAGGTAAAAACAAGAACAGGTGAGATGACGGACACAGGAAGAGATTCTCTTCTTAACACAGGATCTTCTGAGTTTTATAGTAAGAACCATCAACGTGGGTTCAAACACATGTCGCCTCATCAGGCCAACTATTGGGCCTGTGCCATCCCCAACTCCATGCCACCCTCCCCAAACCGCAATTCCCCCAGCTGGGATCCTGAAAAGGAATACCAGGCACTCCTGGACTACACATACCCTCTGAGACCCAACATCACAGGCACATGGGGTTCAGCAGATGGAGATCTTCTCTCACAAAATGATCCGTTGTTGCAAGACTCAGGCATTGAGTTGGACCGCTTTTGCAGCTCTTCCACCTTGTCCTGTTTGGACCTATCCCATACAGGGACTCGGCAGAGATGCTTTAGTCCAGGAACAGGTCGAAAGTCAACTGAGTTTCCTGCTCTAAACAAATCACACTCAAAGTCCTCAGATGGTATCATGTCCAGTAGCCTGTACTCCTCACTAGACCAAACTGGCTTGTCAATTGAGAGTCTTGACTGCGACAGGAAGCCAGTGGGTCATTACCGTAAATTTGGCATCTTCTCAACCTTCAGATCTGTCCCCACTTTCATTAGTTCAACACACGTCCTTACTCGTCCTAATTCGCAAGACGAGTTAGACGAAGAGTTCCTTCGCCTACCAGAACATCTACAGGAACTTCAGGTGCTTTCACAGCAACTGAGGGACATTAGTGACCAGATAAGCCAACCGGTCATCACCAGCTGGGAATCCCTGGAGAGCGAGATTACCTCCGTCAGATCACCAACGGTTCAAGTGGGAAAGCATGAACCATTGATGGAAGAAAGGGGCGATGAAGACATTGAAGCGAGGAGGGGATCTGTTTCTGAAGTTCCTCTTACACCTGAGGATCATTTAGAGAAAGCAAAGGAGACTGCTGTCAGAATCCAGATGATAAGTCGAGACGTGAATAGAAGGAACCTGAGGGAGGTGGAAGCTATTATGGATCAGCTGAGCGGATTGTCAATGTCAGAGCTTCAGAGGACAATACAAACAGACCAGGATAAATATGAGACCCAGGAGTCACTAATGCAGCACATACAGGTGAGTAGACTTTTCTCTTCTGATTGCAAAGTTCTGAGATGGCTGAGAATTTATGAGAACTGTTACATCCTTTCTCAACAGGTATTTTGCTCAAACCTAGAAAAGCTGATTCAGTGGCTGCACAAGGTGGTAGAGAAGGTAGATTTTCTATCTCCTCCCATGGTTGAATTGGAGAGCGTCAAAGCCTCCTTGGCTGACTACAAGGTTTGTAAACTACACTACCATTCAAAAGTTTGGGGTAGGTACGATTTTTTTTTTATTGAAAGAAAGCAATGTTTGTTCCCCAAAAATTGTTGTTTTAAATTGTAATAACGTTTCACAATATTACTGTTATTACAGTATTTTTGATCAAATAAATGCAGCCATGGTGAGCATAAAAAAAAACTTATTTAAAATACATAATGGCCTGGTTTCACAGACAGGGTTTAGATTAAGCCAGGATTAGGTCTTAGTTCAATTAGGGCATTTAAGTAGCTTTTATAAACGTACGCAAGAAAAATCTTGAGACAAAACAATGGCACTGACATATTTGAAGATATGTCAGTGCAAGTTGCTTTTAGTTAAGACAGTTTAAACAAGCATTTTAGTCTGGGACTAGCTTTTTCTGTTTGTAAGCTTACTGACCTCAAACTTTTGAATGGTAGTGTATATGCATCTTATATAGCAATAAGAAATAATCATTTTATTCCAAAAGAAGTTCGTTCAAAAAGTACATGACTGCATCACATGATATTTTTCAGAGTTTTCAGGAAGAAGTTCAGGCTCATAAGCCCCTCACAGCAGATGTTCTTCAGACTGGAGAGATGCTTTTGCATTGCATGAATTCAGCCTCTCCGTGTGAGTCTTATTAGCTCTATCAAACTGTAATACAATAAGATAATGTAATTGTTTTTTAAAGAACAGCAAAAACATCTCTCTACAATTCAGCTGCTGTAGTGAATACCGAATTAGCACAACTCATAAAAGCTGCATTTTGTTACTGAACCCTCAGTTGTGGTGAAATTATATTTTAAATTAGAAGCATTAGAGCTTTTTATCTTTGTTTCTTGAACATTCGGTACACTTCCACAGTTGTGTACAGCTTCTCAGTTTTGGACATGTTGTGCAGTGTAACCCAATACTCAGTCACATCGGACAGAAACAGGAAACTGCAGCCATGCATGCATGAATTAGAGAGCCGTGCTGTTACCTAGCATTCTCCATTTCTGCGTTCACATCAACACCATTACTTTCGTCAACACATCACTAGTATTTAGATGTTCTAATACTGCTGCTCATATATATATATATATATATATATATATATTTTTTTTTTTTTTTTTTTTTTTTCTGATCCTACAGTTCTGAAAGACACACTGGTGCTAATAGAGAGGCAGTCTCACACACTGGAAACTCATTCAGAGTATCTTTTCTCCTCTATTCTGTCAGCCATGGACTGCCTCACTGACCCCAGATCTGAGGAAGCATCAGGTAACGCTCTACGATTATAGTGCCCTCTAGTGTCATCACATGGTTAAATTACTATAAATGGATGACTGAATATGCTGCAGTGATGACATTCTTTGTTGGCCAACATAGAAGTTGAATAGTATTTCTCCACTGGATTCCTAGATTTCGGATTATTGCAGACAATAAGCTTTGTGACCTGTTGTTTTGTGATTCTGTTTTATTGAATCGATAATCCTTTTATCATAAAAATGTTTAGGAATTTTGATGCCTAAAAACAATGGCAGAAGTAAAAAAAAGCTAGTGCTATAATGCTGCGTCCACGCCATGTCGTAATTACAAAGCTTGTATTAAACACAGACTTTATTTCAGGCATTTAACCAAAAACTCATTGACTTAAGGACGATGGAAGCTGAAGTGCTAAAATTCTGATTTCTGGGTTTTGGTCTACAAGAATATTTCCTCCCTGCAGCACTCTATTAGAATTTCTACAATATACAGTTCATTATTCACATTTTCCCCTGTGACTTTCGCCTCTTTTGATTATTTTTTCACTCTTTCTCCCCAGAAGCAATTTCCTGAGAACTATTAGGAATCTGGGAAGGCAAATATCTGGTCCGCACACTGTCTTCACTGAGACGTCTTTTTTTGGGTGTTTTCACATGAAAAACACTTGTAACTTGACTCATGTCGCCATTATCTTTGTTTTACATGTTTACTGTATCCAGAACTAGTGTTATGTGCTGTCACATGCTTGAGTTATGTCACAACATACTTTTTTGATCCACTTCAAATGTTGACTACTGCATTTTAACATATTCATGTCAGAAAATGTCCTGAGATGGCCTAATTTAGTAATGCTGTTTTACAGTAATACAACTCTGCGGAAGAGGTGCACATATGTGCCAATCATGATTGTGATCTCAGATTATTATTACCTTATTAAGTTTTAATGGAGGACAGCCCAGCCTTCATTAGCATCTCTGCAGCTTTAGTTTCCTTCTGAGTAACCTGTGCCTCGAAAATGTTTTGTATTTTTTGACTGATTATTAGTGTCAGAATGGTATAATGATGAATATATGAATAATCTGTTGGATGAGCATTCATACTCGACTGTTCACCCAAAAATGAAAATTGTAATCAATCACTCACCCTCGTGTTATTCTAAAACTGTATGACTTTCTTTTGTTGAATGTAAACGTGTGTCTCAGTGTTTTTGTTGATTTTCTCTACACAATATAAGTCAAAGGGGTTCAATGTTGTGTAGTTACCAACATTATACAAATATCTTCTTTTGTGTTCCACAGAAAAGAAAGCTTAGAAAGACATGAGGGTGAGCAGATGATGACAGAATTTTCAATCATGTATGAACTAAACCTTTATGGTGAAAGCAATGACAGTATGTCAGCATTTGGATATCTCAAAGGAACAAAATGCAATAAATAAATGATGGTGCATAATGCATGTGGAATGGACTCAGCTGAAAGAATGTGACGGCAAACTAAACAAAACCTTGAGGCAGAAAGTTTTGGAGAACTTCAACTGTAGAGATCACAGACTGATGTGTAACTGTTTTGCATTTATGTATAAACTTTTTAACAATAAACGGTTTCCTTTTTGATAGTTTTCTTGTTTTTGTCTTGTTTTTTTAGTTAAGTTAAATATAGATTTTTCTGTAGGTTTCGATGAGGATACTTGATTAAATGCAAAAATACTCAATTACTTACAAGTATGTACATAATGTACTGAAGTATTCCCATTCATGCATACAAATTCACATAGGACTGGTTTCACAGACAGGGCTTAAATTAAACCAGGATTAGCTCTGTTCAATTAGGTCATCTAAGTAGCTTTTATAAACATGCCTTAGAAAAATAACATTACTGGTGTGCATCTTGAGAAAAAACAATGGCACTGACATATTTTAAGATGCAGTTTGTCAGTGCAAGTTGCTTTCAGTTAAAACAGCTCAAACATGTATTTTAGTCTGTGAAACCAGAGGATACTGTATTAAAAGAAGTTTTTTTTTAATCCTAAACATTAAATCAGTTATTTCAGAAGGTGGATCCATAAACCAGTGTTATTGTAAACTAAAGCTACTAAAGATTTTGTTCATTAAAAAAATTATATATTATATATAAGCTGAAAAACTCTGGACTAACTGGAATAAAATAAGTTTACGCTGAATTACTAATACTGAATTGGAATTAAAATAAAACATTTAGAAAATGCCAAAAGCAACAAAAAAAATGCAATGAAAATTTAAAATATGAAAAATAATTCTAATTATTAATAAACACCATGATGGTATATAAATACTAAAATATGAATGAACTCCTTTTGGAGTGTTGTAAGGGCTGTGTACTGCAACAAGCTTAAAATCCATATCTGGGATGTAAAATATACATCCAAAACAAAAAAATATATATAAACTAGACAAACAGTTTCCAAGTTCATTCAAAAAATGAATTAATTTGTCTTTATTATGAAAAAGAGAACATAGTGTTTGTCACATATGCAAAATGTGAATTTGTTGCTTTCAATGTATTCCGCAGATAAATGGCCAATATTAAGAGACTGTAGATTGGAACAATATATTTGCATATAAATGTTGAATAAATAAAACACAAAGGGTTTCTACATGTCCCACCAAGAATTGCAGACATACTGATATTGTACAGTATGGTCGTACAATATTTATTTATATTTTTGATAACTGTTACACATTGCGCAACAAAACTACAAGTCTGCAGCCACAGCTTAATAAAAAAGGTAAAACTACTCAAATCATGTATTTAACTCTACAGAGTTGTCAATTCAGATCTTATATATATATATACATACATACACACACATAATGTATATGTACATATATTTTACTAAACAGATGTTGGGCTGGGAACCACCGCTGTCCGGTTGATCGCAACAACAGACTGACAAAACAATCTGTGGGGACAGAAACCTACACATGCAAATATCAACAGTAAAATAATCAACAAGTAAGAATAAAGTAAGAAAAGGACAGAAAAACAAAACGTCATTGAATTTTGACCACAGACCAGCCCTGCAGTAGGAATGCAGTGAGATAAATACACACATTATTCTTAGAAACCTGCAACACAGAGGATTTAAAATCGTTGAGTGAAAATGAAATCCATCCTTTTTTGATGTGGGGTTGGTTAAAAGCAGCCCCTGACAGACGGCAGGGGTGAAGGGGACTGACCGTTACCAAATCTCATCAGTTATAGTTTGTGAAAAGCCGGGGAGGGGGCAGCAGATTTTTGAATGTTTTTGGTAGTGCGGCTACATACAGTACAACTTGGATAACTTTAATTGTTGCCTGTTTCACACTCTCTTTTATTCTTTCTATTCTCCATATTCACTCTTTGCTCCATAACAAATGATCTATTCCCCTTTCTTTCTCCTATTGTGGGGGCTCTTGCTCCAAGATCCATGGGCCGAGGTGAGGGGGGGGGTCGAGGTTGAGGGGGTCTCAGCAGCAGCCTCCAGATGCAGGCTTCACCGGAGTGCTCTGGATATTCACCTTAGACTTCTCAGAACCTCCAGTTGTGGCTCCGGGGCCCATTCTCTTCTTGATCTCAGCAGCCATGGTCATGAAGGCCTGCTCCACATTGGTAGCATTCTTAGCGCTAGTTTCCAAGAAAGGAATGCTAAGGGAATCAGCAAATTCCTAGAGATAAACCAAGCAGTTATTTCTTTTAGAACATTGGAAAAGTGAACAACTGCAAGTCTTATGTGCATTTAGGCTCTGCTCCAAAACTAGTGAGCTGCCCATGTAGGCAGAAATTTAAGGCACACTCCCGACCATCATTGTACAGCATCATTAGCCTACTATGGTACTTGTACTGAGGGGAAGCACCGTCGAGAAGCAAGCAGAGAAAAAAGGTAACGCTTCCTTTTACAGTCCTGTTACCCATGTACTAACTATGTACTTATTATAGTAATTACAATTACTGGGTAATAACTAGGCACTAACAATGAACCTACCCCTAAACCTACCCCTAACCCATGTACTTACCTTATATTAGCCAGTACTTTCTAGGTAAGTACACTGTAAGTACACGTAAGTACTGTACTGTAAAAGGAAGCGTTACCAGAAAAACTGCATTTTGTCATGATTTAGGAAGGTACTCTAAGAAAGTGTACAAATAAAGATAATTTGAGATGTTTAATTACTATTTGAGCTTTGGGATTGCTAGACGAGGTCTTAATGAACTAATTTTTGCATATGATAATTACACTTTTTTTTTCTAAAGCTGTAATTCCTACAGATCTTTTCTCTAATCAGCAGATGACAGAATTCTACACCTAACACCTAGAATAGATCAATATCCAGAAACAACTCATATTTACAGGGTTTTTTTTCAACTGCTTACACACCTTAAAATCCTTACTTGTCACACAATTTCTGAAACCTGACACTCAAACACCAGAACCACACATCAAATTTGCAAAACCATACACCAATTCTTGGCCTTCGACTCAGTTTTCAATTTCATAAAACACTTTTTGCAAACCACAACACACAATTCTCTATGTAACACACAAAAATCTAACAGGAAGTATCTTGATTTCCTTTTTCAAACACAACCTATCAAAATGCCACACTAATTCATCAGTGCCTCACACTAACTCAACTCCTCACATGTGCAAACACTCATTGCTTTACTTAACACCAACCAATCATGGCTTTAGAATAGGCTAAAGGTCAAGTTATAGGTTTTTCGGACTGTGTAATACTGTATTCACAACCACAAATGCTTACAGTAAAAAAAAAAGAAAAAAGGTTTCAATCTTGCTTTCGTGTTTACCGTGAATTTTTCAACATCTCTCTGCCAATTACTAGGGCTGTCACTTTTGTGAAAAAATCCTGATAGATTTTTGAGACATAAATGTTCATTGAATCGATTGTAAAATCGATTTTCCATGTCTAAAGACTAGGGGTGTGACGAGACGCTTATCTCACGAGACGAGACTAGACACGAGATTGGGTTCACGAGAACGAGACGAGACGAGATTTTTGCACAATTTTTCAGAAATCCTCAATGACAAAATTCATGGCTGGAAAAATAGTATGCAGGTGCATTTTTCAATGTTTTAACTAATAATCTTCTAATGCATGTCATTTCAGGTCTACTTTATGAGTATGAATTATCAAATGCATTGAAAGAAAACAATATTCAAGCACTGTAAAAGGTTTTTATTGACTGGCTTTTCTCCTGTATAATTTCACATTAGTCTCTTCAGACCTTACTGTACATTTAAGAGCTTTCAGAACTTCTGATTGAGGCTGTGTGTGACCTCCTAACTGAACTCCTTTTAACACACATTTAACAGAGAAATAAAAACCGTATAAATAACAAAAATAAATAACTGTTTTCTCTTAGTCTTATTAAGTGCAAACAATAAGTGCGAGTGCAACCATAATCAAAGTTAGCACACAGACTCTTTATAATTGTTGTGAAATTGCGGTTTTATTTTGCACCGGCAGTTATAGGGTTAATGCGGTGAGTTGGGAAAAGGCCGAGAGAAACGAGGCTGGTGTGTTTGTCTCTACAGTTGTTCTTGCGTTCCGATTATAAGTTCAGAAACGGAGCCTCCCTTGTCTGTTGTCCTTTGTACGTTACAGTGCTCTCTCAA